CTTTTTTCATGATCGGTGGAGATGGCCTTGCCCTCATATTGCCCAAATATGGAAATGGCCCATTCCACAAAGTTCAAGTTTTTATTTGACTGGCGGCACTGAATAAGGTGTTGACCATTGATAATTTGATCAAAAGGTGAAAATTTTGCCGAATGTTTGTTTGCTATGTAAAGCTGATGGGGAATATGCTATGCACCTTTTTATTCATTGTTCATTCACAGTGAGAATTTTGTATTGGCTTTTTAGGGTTTTAGGGATTAATTTGGTGCTTCCCCAATCTGTGGAAGGGATAGTCTCACAATTTGCTTTTTCATCTGCCTAAAATTGGAAAAGTTATTTGGACAATATCGAAAGGTGTTATCCTGTGGGAGGTGTGGACGGAAAGAAATAGAAGGACTTTTGAGAGGATTTCTATGTCTTTTGAAAGATTAGTACATGTCATAAAACTTTCTATTTGGTCTTGGTTGTCAGTGACAAAAAGGGGTAGGGGTATCTCCAAGGTTGATGTTATGGCTAATCTTAGTAATCTTTTCCTCCTTGGTTATATTAAAAGTAGAACGACAAGTATTTAGATTGCACATTCTAGTGGACGTTTGAAGCTCAACTTTGATGGTAGCTCGCTTGGAAACCCTGGTTTAGCTGGGATTGGTAGTAGTCTGCAAGATTGCATGGGTAACATCCTTTTTTTCTATGCCGGTCCAATAGGTGTTAAAACTGCCAATTATACTGAACCGAGTGCTCTACTTTGTAGGGTGAAAATCTTCACTGATAGGAATCTTGGTAATAACTGTTGGATTGAAGGGGATTCTTTAAATATTATTAGATGGTACAATAAAGAGCAGAAAGTTTCTTGGGAGCTGTAATCTCTATGCTTGCATGTTATGGACTTGGTAGATTCTCTATCAGTTTCTTTCTCTCATGTTTATTGCGAAACGAATTATGTGGCAGATGCTTTGGCTAAGGGTGGTGGTTCTTTACCTACTATTATTATTTCTAATGACGTAATTTCTTTTCTTAGTCATCAATAAAATTCAAGAATATTTATCAAAAAGAAATAAAAATGTCTTTGACAATCTAGTATTGCTTATTCTAGTGTTGGGCTAGTTGTCTAGTTTGAGGGTCACTTATTTCACAATATCTTCTTATTTTATAGCTTGGAGAGACAAACATACTATTTACAAGTTTTAATTTAGAGGTATCAAGTCAATATTCCAAGGAGATTTCCAAGGTGGGACCATTTTTCATGTTTAAAATTTTATATTTAGGGCTGAAAATAGATTTCCAAATAATCCTAAGAAATCTTCACACCAAAGTGATATATTATGATAAAATTTGGAGGTATGTCCTAGTTGGATTGTTTAATATTGCAACCTTATACAAAACATACCCATGTTATATTAAAAAAAAAAAAAGGGAGTGGATTGCATTCTCATTGGGCTTAAAAGAAATAATGCCTCAAGACTGAATAGAAACCGTCCAATTTTTTTAAAGGCAGGTCTAAGTGTTAAAAATTTTAAAAATTCAATTTATTTCTTTTAAATATAATCATCTAGTAATTTTTAGGTGTTTCTCAAAATTTTCAATCAAAAAAGATCTTCCCAAGTTGCCTGAGAATGTGTGTAATATATCCTACAGGACCATAGTATACACGCTCATCTATCTATAAAAGAAGTGCCCTTTTTTCACCTCCACTTCCAATTATATGAATAACAATCAAGCACTAGCCCTACTCCAATACCTTCTTTGACTGATGCCGCTCCTAAAGCCATATAGTGAACATGCTGCACTTTTTCTACAGTACCTCACACCCTCTCATCAGGGGTCCATTTTTTGCATGCCACTCTAATATGTGGTTTGGCATTGTTAAGGCACCATTTTAGGTGAGGGATTGGTCGTGGTTGAGGGGCTTGCCCCTTAGAACTTGACAAATAGGTTTGCTTTGTGAATGGGATGAACAACCCACATTGGTATAGACAAAGAAAATAAAAATTAACATATTTCAAATTAAAAGAGTATTATAGAGCACTCAAATTTTGTTCTATTTTGAACAATTCAGTAGGAAAGGATTTTCTATTCATGATAAAAATGGAGCTCAAGACATAAATTGTAACCCTGCCACTTGACCACTAGCCTTAAGCCTCTCTTAATATACTATAAATGCCATAAAAATAGTAGGAAACCCCACCATCATAGAATATCTTTTTTTGACAAATATTATAAGATTTTATTGAAAGAGGAGGTTACTCAAAAGGGATTACAACATCTGAAATACAAATAGAAGATAGATAAATACCCCCTTTAGCAAGATAGTTTGCTAAAGAGTTAGCCTCTCTATACACATGAAGAAATAAAATGGACATTCCCCCAGTCATATCAATAATCTGCATCCAAATCGACTTTGGCTCCCAGGGCACCCTTTTTTTTTTACTGCACCAATGGACCGCATTCAAAGAGTCTCCTTCTACCACACCGCAATTTCCCAAATTTTTATTGCGAAAATTACGTAACCCATGGAAAATGGCTTGCATTTCAGTACTATTTGCAGTGGCTATACCAAGGGGTTCTGCATATGTAAAACTAATACTGCCACCACAATCTCACACAACCCCTCCTGTACCTGCCATCCCCGAGTTACCAAACGAGCTTCCGTTAAAGTTCAGCTTCAATACACCTTGTGGTGGAGGGTCCAAACACTCCTATATCTAACCCTGGTAGTTCCAGAAGGCATTATATTTTTCAAGTTAATCAACACATACACCTCAGAAATACCCCACCCTTCTTTAGTTGCTGCCCACCAACACCAAACCGAGTGCTTAATTTTGTTCAAAACCGTCCCTTCGTTCAAACACTCACCTTCAAAAGGTCTTACGATTTCTTTTCTTCCTTATCCTCCACATGATCAAACCTCTTGTGGGCTTCCAAATAGTCTTACCGGTCTTTACTAAATTAGCTATAGAAAGCTGACTCAATATACCAAGCACCGAATGAGGTAAAGAAACCACTACCAAATCTTATTAGCAAAGCGGCAATGTAAAAATATTAGCAAAGTGGCAATGTAAAAATAAGTGATCCCGAGATTCAGCTTCTTCTTTGCATATTAAACAAACATTACGTAACATCTTTTTTCGGATTTTGTCTTGAGCAGCCTGCCAAATGAAAACTTGCACATTATGAGGGATGGGCCATTTTTAGATCTGTGAAATTTAGGGCAACAACCATCGCCAACGATCATGGAAGAGTAGGATAACAATAAACTAACTAAATCTGAAATGAAAAATAATCCTAAGTCTTGATTGTACAAAAAAAAAAAAAAACCTAAAGTCTAACAACTAAGAACTAACCACTTAGTTATTTGGAAATGCGACTACATTCGATGATCTGGTATAGCTACGGTAGATAAGGCTGAAGTAAAAGCAAAAGCAGTTTTATAAGGTTTGAGGATCATTGAGGGGAAGGGGTTTGGTAGTATGGTAATTATTGATGGTGAAATCTTTAATATAATCAGATCGTGAAGAAATGAGCATAAGACCCAATGAAGTTTATGATCTATGCTATTTGAAATTAGGAAAGGGAACGTATACTATGCTCCTTCTGGAGCATATTTGACTTCTATTCACTCGGTGAGAAGGCTTACTTGGAATGATTCATTCAAATCTGAAATTTTGGTAACCACATAAGAATTACTAAATGATCACCATAAAAAAAAATTAAAATTTGAATTTTCTAACACTTAGATTTCACCATTTAAAATTTGGATGGTATCTATTTAACCTTGAGACTCTTTTGGTTTTTTCAAGTGCATAGATGATACATTTAGGATTTTTTTCTTAATTGAGGTTAATCTTAGGGTTGAAGAAGTTACATCCCCAAATTATGGAGTCCTAATTCTAGGTGGGGTTTTGCTCGAGGGAGTAAATTGACATTTTACTCCAGCAGGGGTACAATATGTTTTTGGCATAAGGATAAGTAGTTTGCATGCTAGGGACGCATTTCTTCAATAACGTCCCTTGACTCATGTAACATCCATCGCGGAGATGGATGCTAGAAATCGGAAGCCCCACAAAAATTTGAAATCAACGGTGTTAAAACTAGGTTAAAATGTTTTACTTTTATTTTTAGAATTTATTTTTTCAAATTCCTACTTGTCGTATGGTTGAAAATTTCATTCCATCATATTTTGAATCTAAGCTACATCTCTAAAATATATTTTAATGAAAGATGATTCGTTTAAATAGGGCATGATTAGGTTAAAGCTTTGGGCTATTACTCTTGGTAATACTTTGTTATTGTACTACATATTCTTGAATTAATGAAATAAAAATAATTTCAGTAAAAAGTAAAGGACACGGTTTTTATGAGTCCATGTATAAATGAGTCACCTCTTGAAAATATATTTTTGAGATAGATTTTTTGACCTAATTTTTAGAGATTCTCTAACATGGACATCATAAATATGAATAAATAAATAAATTTTAAAAATTAAAAATAATAATTCTATTAAGAAACATTTGGACCGGTAGTTTCAACTTTTTTTAGATGAACCACCTCTTTGCATCTATCTTTATATAAATGTTTTATATCTTGGGGACTGCAAATGTAGAAATGCGGTTCCCCGTCGGGTGAAACAATTTTCCAAGAGAAAAATGGAGTGCGAGAGCAATTAACAAACATACTCGGATTTTATGCAGCCAAGCCTGTATATGTAGAAATGCAGGCCTATTAATAAATTTATTTTGAGATGGCTTTTTGAACGTAATTTGTAATCTATAACATGGAGATAATGAATATGAAAAAATAAGTAAATTTTAAAAACTAGAAACAATAATTTTAGTAAGAAACATTTGGACTGTTAGTTTCCATTAGTTTAGTTTTAGATGGTGGATGCTTTACACCTTTTGGACCGCATGTGTAGTCTTGCGGTACAGCCCGCATGAAACAATTTTCCTTAACAATAAAAATGATTCGCGTAACTGCCTGAAACAGCTCGCACTTTCTTACACTCCACTTTGCCGCCTCTTTCGTTCTCTACTTTTAGAGAGAGAAAGTTAGAGAGAGAGAGAGAGAGAAAAACAGATTGACAGTGTTCTTCAGTCCTTGAGAGAGAGACCCCAAGAAGATATTGCGGCTCTGCATTTTCCAGAGAGAGAGAGAGAGAGCGAGAGAGAGAGGAATTCAAGAAACCCTCTGCTCCTGCATTCTTGACACGGAAAAGAAAGTGATCAATCGAAAATGGCGAAATTCAAGAGCAAATTTCCTTGCTATTTGACATTCACTCCTCAGACTTCTCTCTCTCACTACCCACCTTCCCTCAACGCCCTACTTCTCATCCCAAAGAAACCCATCTCCAAACCTCTCTGTTACAGACTGCGTTGCACATTCATTTTCTCTCTCTTGATCTCCTGCTCTCTCATGGCCACCCTCGCTGTAAACTTGGCCTCTCATCTCACCACATCATTCCTAATCCCCATAAAGACCTCAAACCCCTGTGTAGAGAGAGATGAAGATGGGGAGAGAGGAAATAAGGACTCTGTTTTCATGGCACCTTTCCCTGAGAGAAGGCTTACAGAAAATCTGAACGAAGAAGAGAAAGAATTTTGGAAACAACCAAATGGGTTGGGCTATGAGCCATGCCTTCATTTCTCGATTGGTTATCGAAGAGCTTCGAGGAAGAAGAGAAAGGGTTTTGTAATGGTGGTTGTTTCAGGTGGATTGAATCAGCAGAGGAATCAGATCGTTGATGCTGTTGTGATTGCTCGAATACTCGAAGCTACCCTTGTGGTTCCAGTTCTCAAGTTTAATCTAATCTGGGAGGACAACAGGTCTGAGAAACTCTCTCTCTCTCTCTCTCTTTCTTGATGTCATTTTTCAACAATTTTAAGTTTGAAATTGTGTTTTACTCTCTCTCTCTCTCTCTGCGCTTTGTTCCATTTTTTAACTGGGTTTCTTAATTTTTATATTTAACTTCCTTGTTTATTTATTATTAACATTTTTCAAGAATTTTGGGCCTCTATTGAGTGTTTTTTTTCTTCAGTTCTTCTTCCAATCCTTAATGACGAATTGTTTGTTCTATCTACTAACACATTCAGTTATTTTAAAAATGTTAAACATCTGGCCTTGAGAAGTAGCGGCAAGTTGATCATTTCAAAAAATCTAATAAATGGATATGAAAATATAGAAAAATTTTCAAATAATAGAAATTTTGAGGAACATGTGTGTAAATTTCTCTTTTTTAGATTTCGAACCAACAATAACATACCCCACAACTATTAGATTTGACATCTAATGGCTAAAAATGATAAGAGCTTTTTTGTACCACAAGTAAACAAACATGTTATATAGCTGTCTTTCTGTCTTAGCCAACAGTATTGAGTAATACTTGTCAAGAAAATCTGCACCATCCATCAACTAATCCAACTAACCATATTTGACTTGCCCACTTCTAATATTTGATCTGCTCATGTGTCAACAGTGAATTCTCTGATATATTCGACGCTGAACACTTTAAGATGTCGCTAAGGCCGCACGTGCCAATTGTCACGTCCCTCCCCTCTTCATACCCGCGTCTCAAACCTTATGCACACAAGATTCCTCGACTTCTCACTCCTCTATGGCTACGTGCCAAATTCATTAACAAGGTGTGTGAGTAAAATAATAAGGGAAAATAATAATATTACGTCTTTTATCGAGTTTTCTTTGTTATAATTATCCACCTTTGGTACATTGTAAGGAGAATTTACATAAATATGGCTCATGAAATTTGAAAGTTTTGTTATCAATATTTCATATTTTAGGATTATGTCCCACTCTTTTAGAGCATATGTCATTTTTAATTGTAATTTTTTTTTTTAATGGAAAAGTATACGAAGAGATTATTTATTTTTAATACAAGGAGGTCACATATCACTCTCATCCGTCGGATTTCAAATTGGGTGGTTGTAAGTGTGTTGTTGACTAAAGTCAAATATCACAAAAATTCTCGAGCTTTGTGACACACCTCAAGTCATCCAATTTTACATCTAATGACAAATAAACCTCCTTTTAATAAACATAGATAGTCTCATAGTATACATTTCCTTTTTATGTATATTCAATTAAACTCAAATTTTGGGTGCCCATAGTTCCCATCATTATGTAACTGTACAAAAAAAATACAAAAATGATAGTTTGATAAATAAAATTACTAAAATGCCTTAAATTCACCTAAATTTTGAATTAATATTTTGGATGTTTTATCTTTGTTTAACTATTTGTTATATGTTTTTTTACAAATGCATTATGTCGAAAAGTATGGACACATGAAATTCGTGCCCAATTTGATGTAGGAAAATAAATAAATGAAATTTGAAATACTAAATGTGTCTAATTAGAATGATACCATTTACCTTTGGTACAAGGCAGTTATAATTAATCTTGACCATTGGATGTGCTATTTGATGGCTGCATTTATTCTATTGACCGTGCACAAACTTCAAAATTTTTTTTTCAAACTTTGTGGCACACTCAAGCTATCAGTTTTCACATCGCATGGTTATAAACAACTGTGACCTCCTTGTATCAAAGGTAAATAATCTCATTGTATAAAATCCCATTTTTAAATTCCAAACAAAAGGATATTATATATCAAGTTATGTCAGACAAAGAATATCTTAAAATTATATGCTTGGGGTACAAGAAGATTATAGCCACTTTTACCATTGGATCCAAAATCCGATGGTTAAACATATGCTATTGGCCTATTCACAATCCAAAAAGCTCTTTAAAACTTTGTTGCAATGAACTAAAGACTGGATTTCATATCTGATGAGTTAAGAGTAATTGTGATATTTTTGTACTAAGCATATACAACCTTATCATACATGCTCCTGAACTAATATTTACGTGCTTTTAAGGAAACGTTTAGGTAGCATTGTTATTATGAGATGGAGGATAGGGGTGTAAACCCTTTTAAATAGGGGTATTTTGGTCACTTTGCAGCTAGGTAGAGGAGGAGTGATACTCCTAAAAGGACTCACAGAATCGAGGCTTTCTAAAGATCTTCCCCTTGACCTTCAGAAACTACGTTGCAAGGTAAAATGCCATGGCACCATTTCCCATCTTTTGGGTTATATACGGGATCAAGACCTTCATTTTTTTGAATTATCAACAAATGACCTTGATATAAAGAATTCACAATTATTTTTAGTTATTGGATGTGAAATTCAATACATTCACAATCATTTTTAGCCATTGGATGTGAAATTCAATACATTGAAGTATGTCATAACATTTGAAAAATTTTATTTTAAACTTTGTGCCACATCCACAACTATTTGATTTCACATCTAACAGTTAATAATAATTGTGATATCTTTTTACCAAAAATAACTAGTCTTGTTATATACATTTAATTAATTTGGGCATGGTGGTATATCTACATTTCCTTTACTTAATTTGGGCATGGTACCACCATAATAAATTATGATTGTGTGCCTTAATTTTGTTTTCTTTTGGACTTCCAATAAAATTCGTTGGGCTTAAGCAAAACCTAGGTCAAATTGAAGGAAAAAAAGCAACAAGTTCTAAAGGGTTGGGTTTTGGCTCCAGTCCCATCATTGAGATGGATCAGGGTCTGAAACTCCACACATCCATTCTCCTCATTTCTGTAGATCTTAAAAAAAAAAAAAAAAAATGGGAGAAAAGAAAAGATTTGAAAGCCTAAGAATGGTCTATCTTGCCCTTTTATCCTAAACTCCATTCCGATTTTCGATTTAGGCAGGGTTACATAACCATGATTTTCAGGTGGCCTTCCATGCTATGAGATTTTCGGCCCCAATCAGAGCGGTGGGAATGCGGTTAGCAGAGAGAATGTGGACCAAGGGACCCTACATTGCCCTTCACTTACGTTTGGAGAAAGATGTGTGGGTCAGGACTGGTTGTCTTCCTGGTCTCTCACCTGTGTTTGATGACATTGTCGTTGGCGAACGCATACAACGACCGGAGCTACTCACCGGAAGATTGAACATAACTTATCACAAAAGGAAAGCTGCAGGCCTTTGCCCTCTAAATGCCCTTGAAGTTGCAAGGTACACACACCATCTCCATCTCTCTCACTCTCTCTCTCTCTCTAAAATGAATGAAAATTGCAGGTTATTAGAGGCTCTCGGTGCACCAAGGAGTAGTAGGATATACTGGGCAGGAGGGGAAGCACTAGGAGGGGACGAAGCTCTACGTGCTTTGGTGGAGAGGTTCACGAACCTAGTGAAGAAGGAGACACTTGCATTGCCCGGTGAATTGGAGCCGTTCATCAACAAGTCCTCAGCGTTGGCCGCCGTCGATTATATTGTGGCCCTCTACAGCGACGTTTTCATGCCATCCCATGGTGGAAATATGGCTCGCACCATGCAGGTTCCTTTTTTTTTTTTCTGTCATTTTTAATCTTATTTTACAACTAAGTTTTTTAAAACCCGGAAGATTTCATGTTCTTGCGGGAGCTTACGGCCCATTTACTCCCTCGGGTTAAACCTAATCTAGGAGTATTTGTTTAGGAAAAAGTTTATATAGAACCGCGGCTCTAAACAATCAAATTAGAGCCATCTCAAAAATTCACTAGAAGTTTTATTGCTCAAATATCTTCAAAGTGACCCAAAATTTTCACTAGAAGTTTTGATGCTCAAATATCCTCAAATCGACCATCTGGACATTAAGATGCTTGGGCATGAGCAAACAATGGATTTCAAGTTTTGAAAAAAGTGCATCTTGTAACGCATTTTTGGACTGTCAATTTTCAAGGTTTTATAGATCTGCTTGATCTATACTATTTTTAAAGCTTTAAATTTTATAATTAAAGATAAAAACATATTTTAAGGCTATCACAAAGATTTTCATAATAAAACCACATTTCTCGACACTATTTGAAGGTGGGTTTTATTTATTGTTTAGAACCTTGGCTGTATACAAATCACACGCTTTTGTTTATACAACCTTTTCATCTCATATTCTTGCCTCAACAAAAAAAAAAAAGTCCAAATAACACACTCTATGGGCTTGTAGGGTGATATCTAAGTATTAAACAATTCAAATTAAATTTTCTTTTTCTAAATAATTATCTATGATTTGTAGGCGGTTCACAAAATTTTAGATAAAAAACATCCCCCAAATAGGTATTTTTCTCAGGGAAGCAAGTGTGCAGTATGCTCCTATGGAAGCATAGTACACACGCTTTTGAAAGAAGAAAATGCGTAGATGAAAAACATTTCCTTGGATTATTACCGCACAGTAAAAGATCAACATTGGAATGATGGTCTGGTCAAATTAAAATTGATCAAACTAATTGAATTAAAAGTTTAAAATGTAAAAAAATTTATTAACAATAATTTAAGAACACAAAGAATATTAGAAAAAAAACCTTGACCAACTTTATTTTGACCAGTTTAACTAGAGAAAACTGGTCAATTGGATTGACTAAAATTAATCAAACATAGTTTTAATTGATTTTTGACTAACCGTGATTTTTTACTATTGTCCAGACCACCCAAGATATTAGTCATAAGTCGATGACTCGATCAGCGATAAACCGGTCCGGTCCAGTTTTGATAAATATGTTTTGACTTTTTACCATAGTTATGTAGGCATCTCGTGGAGATTGATTCATTGATTGGATAGTGATAACCCATTTGTACTCGAAAGTATACTATGACTCGTTATTACATTAGATCTATGGTCATGAGCATCTATAAGTGTCCGTCCAATAAATGGATGGCGTGGGAGGTGTGGGACCCAACACTTAAGCCATGTCATATACTGGTTGGTCCCCCTCTCTCTCCCCCTTTTACCGGTCATCCATTGATTGGGCAGTGATGGAACTTAGGATCATTCATTTTCAATGGATGCATGGATCATATTGTGCTTAGTGTTCGTAAAATTGACCGATCTAACCGTTAATTGGCCGGCTAAATCGGAACCAGCCAGTTTTGATTTTGGCCAATTTTGATGATCAACTCATATTTTAAACTTTAAATATAATAATACTTCACACTTAGAACAATTACATCAGAATGGTTTGTTGGCTAGCGTTGGTGCTTGGTTCTAATAGGAATTAGAGTTGGTTCGAGCCATGCTACCAACGTTGTTCAATCGCATTACTTCGTTGTTTTCTTTTTAAGCATCGGTTCGTTGGTTCAAATATATTTATACCCACTCGTTTTGATAGGAATTATCGAACGACGCCGCCAACGTTGTTTTCTTTTTAAGCATTGGTTCGTTGGTTCAAATATATTTATACTCACTCGTTTTGATAGGAATTAGGGTTCGAACCATGCCCACGAGAAGTGTCGGCCTTCAAGTATTTTATTACTAGACCCACTAAAAGAGTCGGCCTAGAAGTCTTTTATTACTAGACCCATAGACCCACTAACTATAGACCTACTAACCAATAAATCATTTATTCATAAAAATAAGGGTCTATGTTATATATAACTTAATTTTGAAAAAAAAGATCTTTTTTTTTTTTAAAAAAGAGTTGGTCAAGTCAATTTTTTTAACACTATTTTAATATTCTTTACATTATAGTAAATATTTAAACAAATTTTGTTCATTGATACTCACTTTTATATTTTCTTATCTTTTTTAGAAAATTTTAAAAATACCTTTACGCACAAATCGATTCGTTAAAATCCATTTTTTCATTAATTTTCAACTTCATTTGAATGTGTTTTGTTTTAATCACATTCTTTATATGCCTTTCATATTTTAGTAGATTTTTTTTGTATCTTTTTTATTTTTTTAACAATTTTTTTTATCGTTCGGGACTTGCTCGGTTAGAGTGGTTGAATCGGCTACTTTAACGGTTAGGCCGGTTAAATCCCTTCGAGGCCCATGTCCGGTTAACCATTCCGGTTTGATTTTGCGAACACTAATTGTGCTTTACCCCTTCTTTTTTCAAAGGAAAAAAAAATAGCTTCCTTAGATTAAAATATTAGATTCATGAACCTTTTAGTTTTCTATTGTTAAATCTTTGTTTATTCTTTTTTGTAATATTACGAAAAAGTATACAAAGATAAAATACAAGGGTAATCACTATTGTCCGTCGAATTTTAAATCGGGTGATTGTGACTGTGTCACCAACTAAATTCAAATTTCCAAAAATTTTCTTGAAGCCATCCAACTTACCTTGTAACGGAGAAATGGTCTCATAATATACAATCCCCTTGTGTTTTTCCCCTTCCTCACAAACTTCTCTTTCTCCTCCAGACTAATTGTACTTTTTGGTGGTGGTGGTGGTGGTGTTGGTGCTTTTAGGGTCATAGGGCATATTTAGGGCACAAGAAATACATAACACCCAATAAAAGAGGGATGTCTCCTTACTTTTCCGACCACTCTTTGCCTGAAGCCGCGTTCGTAACGATAGCAAAACATCTTCACAAGGACAAGTTGGGGCAACCAAGGTTGAGGTGCAGCAAGAAGGGGAGGGATGTCACCGCATTTCCAGTGCCAGAGTGCATGTGCAGGCCATTGTCATGACTGCTTTTGAGAAACTCTTTGCGTCTTTCTTTTGTAGTGTATCTTTGTAAATTTTTTGCCTTTTCATGAAAGTGTAGCCAGTTCTTTGAAGTGGGGCTTCAAAGCTGGTGGGTAAGAAGCAATGAACAGCACCATGCAGAACATATTAATGCTGAGGTATTTCCATAAACTTTCAGGTGGTTTGGGCCACTTGTGCAGTGTCAAAGGGTAAGTAAAATTGGGGCCTCAAAAATCTGAGCCTCTTTGGGCACGTTGTTTTCTACTGAAATCTTCCCCAAAAAAGTATTTTACATGAAGGAAAAAGTTTACATGATGTCTAATCTTATACCATAGAAGTAATATGCACCTTAAAAGTCCACCCAAAAAGGTTGTTCCGATATCGAAAAACCCTAAAATGGATTATCTCTTCTTCGAGACGTACGAGTATGACAAAAAAAAAAAAATTCAAGTCATAAAAATTGTGTATGTTGTAACATGTTATCTAGACCGTCTATTTTCAAAAAATTTAAGTGTGTATAGATCTGTTTGATCTTCAACATTTTTCGAACTTATAAAGTTTGTAATTAGGTGTTAAAATAGATTTTTAATTCATATGGATTTTTGGCACCAACATTGCATCTTTTAACAAGATTTAGAGTCGGCTTGATCTTCAACTTTGTTCATTACTTTAAATTTTGTAATTAGGTATAAAAATAGATTTTTAATCCATTGTAAGGATTGCTGGCACCAAATACGATGAAGCCTTTGCAACTCTCTCTCTCTCTCTCTAATCCCTCAAATACAAAAAAAGATTAACCTCTCGAATCCCTAATTTTTCAGTCAATTGTGGTCAACGTAAATCGAAATCAAAGAGATTTCACTCCAAGATTTAACAATTCAATCAAATCAATAATATCTAAATCATTTGTAATACACGTAATTTGTCATTGTCATTATATTCAATTTCTCTTAAATTTCTTTGACTGAGGTTAGAAAATTCCTTTGGGTTGTGCTGAAATTCCTGAAAAATTGTTGAGATGGAATTGCTCTGAAAATTCGTCAAAAATTTGCTCTTAAATTGTCTTGAAGATCGCTAATGGGACATTTGGTTCACATGAAAACAATTCTTTCAGGGTCAAATATGGGAATATTTTATACCAATTGATCTTATGTATCTTTTCACACCAATTGGCGACTAATTGAGAATATTCTCACACTTGACCGAGGCATGATTATTTTTTTATGTGAAAATGTTGTTTGGGTTGTTGTGAAATTGTTGTAACGATGCTTTAGTGATTTAAGGTCCTGCTTGGAAAAATGAGTTAGCATGAGAATATCACTTGTTTTCTCCGATAAAACATTTTTCCTTGTTTGGAAATGGAAAAAATTGTGAAAAGGCAGAGCCAAGCTTTTCTATATGTTTCCATGCTTTCCCTAATTTTGAGGAAAAAGGCAGTGCAATATGCTGCCGATTTCTCAAAAAGACGGGAAATGCAAGACCCCTCATAGCACCCTTTTTATTTCTCTAATCCCATGATATCTCTCCCCTCTCAATCTCTCTTTGCGCAAGCTCTAGCCCGAGCTTTCTTCAATTTTCACAGACATGTTACCAAACAAGGGGCCTTAGCTTCTCGCTACAGTTTTTTTTTTTGGACAAATGTTATAACTTTTATTGATTGAACAACTACATAAAAGAAATCACATCATCAGAAATAGAAACAGAAGGTAGCACAACACCACCCTTTGCAAGCAAATCCGCCAAAGTGTTCGCCTCCCTATAGATATGATTAAAAAAGACTTGTCAATGGATCCACCAAATCTAAGATATGCAACTACAAAGATCTCAACTCCCAAGATACTCGTTGCTCCCTATTGCACTACTTAATCACATTCAATGAATCACTTTCTATAACACAGTTGTCTCCAATATTTTTGCTCACAAAAACCTTTAATCCTTGTAGCAAAGCCATTATCTCCGCATAGTTAGTAGTGGCAATGCCTATGGGTCCTGCAACGATAAAGATAATATGTCCTTGGCAATTTCACACAGCCCTACCAATCCCAGCCCCACCTGGATTATCAAGAGAACTGTCATCAAAATTCAGTTTGAGCGCACCTTGACAAGGTGCAACCCAAATGCTTCTCAGCCTCGTTCTAACAACCCCCAAGTAGAAAAGATTGTGCATATTAATCATGACATCTGGCTGAGTAATACCCATCGTTCCTTTTGTAGCTGCTCGCCAACACCAAACAGATTGTTTGATTTTTGTTATAAATCTATCAAATGTTAAGTACTCCCCTTCAAAGATCCTTCTATTCCTCTCGTCCCAAAGCTCCTAAAGCACCACACCTCTGACAATATTACAAACCGCACTACTTGTCAAAAGCAGATGTGGAAATTCTAGCTGGAACACAATATCCAAGACCGAAAAAGTAATGGCACAATAACTCTCAGCAAGCCAATGCCAAATCTTGATGGTGTAGGGGCAATGGATAAAGAGATGTGTAATGTATGGTATGGGTCAGGATTCCAATTTTTCAAAAATTTCCAACAAAAACAGTTTACTCAGTTACCAAATAGGTCCTATAGGAAATACAACTTATATGTCCAACATGAGCGAGTACTGTGCGGCTCCAAGCAGTGTGCAGATCATTGCATAATAGGCCCATAAGGATTGGCAGTTTTACGTGCCAACCTCTTTCAATATAGACTGATTTCGTGAGGATCTTACATAGGTTTTGTTGGAGACTTCAACAAGAATGTGGGCTTAATGGTTATACATGGAGGAGTACTTCACTTAATATGAAACTTGGCTCATAGCTAAGTGATGGTTTAATTCATGTGCCATTGTCCAAAATAATTATGTCTAAAACTCCATAATAGGAAAAAAGTTTTTACAAGGTTGAGGCTCTAAATAATCAAATTAAGACGTATCTCAATAAATCAGTAGAAGAAGTTGTTTCAATGCTAAAGAAACTCTCAAATCTGATCATCTTAACCTTGACATACATCGACATAAAAAAAAATGGACTTAAAGTTATCTAGACAGTCAAATTTCAATATTTTCAAATACTCAAAGATTTCAAATACTCATAGATTTCAAATACTCATAGATCTACTTGATATAGACTATATTTTAATCTAGAATTCATAATTAGAGAAGAACATAAAATTTCAATCCATCATAAAGATTTTCGATGCTGAAATGGCACCTTTCGACACCATTTGAAGGCGCGCCTTACTTTGATTATTTAGGGCCTCAGCCTTATACAAACCACATCTTAGATAATACAGGTCATGCAAATATTAATGATTGTTTTCTACTATAAGCAACTGATGTCAATAGTTGCAAGTGCATAGATGTGACCGCCAGTATGTATGGGTTGAATGGGCTTAGTATAATGGGGTTTCGTGGGGCTGGTCTACCAAATGAATTGGGCCAGGGTTAGCTGAGAACTGAACCAGACAAGGTTTTGGCCAGACCTGGAAGCAAATCCAGAGCGTGGATTGGGTTTGGGTCAGTTGGGAATTCGACCGGGCAAGGTTTTGGTCAAAGCGGAGCGATTGGATCCATGTTCACAAAATCCAAACCTGATACTCCAAGTCAAACTTAGTTTAGGTTAGATATACAATATAATATAATATAGGTGTGGTTTCTATAAGGCTGCAACTTTAAACAATCCGATTAAAGCACCGCTCCAAATTTTTATCGTAGTATGTAATTTAAGTTTAAAAAATTCTTAAGATTATTTGAAAATCTATTTTAATATCTAATTATTAAAATTGAAACTTAAAAAATGGTTTAAATCAAATAGATCTATAAATATATGAAAATCTTAAAAA